ACTTTAACATAGACTTAATATCACAACTTGAGCCAAAGAAGGTGGAAGAAGCCCTCAAAGACGACTCTTGGATCAAAGCTATGAAAGATGAACTTGATCAATTTGGAAGAAATAAAGTGTGGGATTTGGTTCCAAAACCATCAAATGCTTCCATTGTAGGAACTAAATGGGTCTTCAGAAATAAGTTGAATAAATCTGGTCAAGTGGTTCATAACAAAACATGGTTAGTTGCTCAAGGTTACTCTCAGCAAGAGAAAATCGACTACGATAAAACATTTGCACCTGTAGCAAGATTGGAGTCTATTCGAATACTACTTGCTTTTGCTGCTCATAAAAGATTCAAACTATTTCAAATGGATGTAAAAAGTGCCTTTCTAAATAGATACATCTCTGAAGAAGTATACGTGAAGCAACCTCCTGGTTTTGTAAGTGACAACTTCCCAAATCATGTATTCAAGCTGTCTAAAGCTCTATATGGACTCAAGCAAGCCCCCGAGGCTGGTATGAAAAATTAAGTTCTTTCCTTCTAAATCAAGGTTTTAAACGAGGTAATATCGACACAACCATGTTTATTAAGCACTCAAACTCAGGTAATCTTATTACTCAAATTTGTATTGACGATATTATTTTTGGAAGCCCTAACTCTGTACTATGTGAAGAATTCGCTCACACTATGAAAGGAGAATTCAAAATGAGCATGATGGGAGATCTAACTTTCTTTCTTGGACTACAAATCAAACAATCTCCCAAAGGGATCTTTATCAGCCAAACCAAGTACACCAAGGAGCTTATAAAGAAGTTTGGTATGGAGAATACAAATTCCATTGGAACTCCAATGAGTCCAACAACTGCGCTTGAAGAAGAAAATAATGTAAAAAGTGTGGATGAACAATGTATAGAGGAATGATTGGATCTTTATTATATCTCATTGCTAGTCGACCATATATAATGTTCAGTATTTGTAAATGTGCAAGGTTTCAGTCGGCTCCAAAAGAATCACATCTTACTGCAGTTAAACGCATTATTAGATATCTTATTGGGACCACTAAATTAGGATTATGGTATGCTCACTCTAACAATTTTATTTTAAAAGGTTTTTCAGATGCAAATTTTTCAGGTGATAGGATTGACAAGATAAGTACTAGTGGTACATGGCAATTGTTGGGAAATACACTAATTTCCTGGCATAGCAAGAAATAAAATTGTATTGCCTTGTCAACTAGTGAAGTATAATATTTAGCTGTTGGAATCTGTTGTACGCAAGTCCTTTGGATCATGCATCAACTTATCGATTATAATTTATCTCTTACCTTTACTCCTATATTCTGTGATAATACTAGTGTTATATGTTTGTCAAAAATTCTGTGCATCACTCTAGGGCAAAGCATATAGAAATCAAGCATCATTTTATCCCTGATCATATTGCAAAAGGTGATATTGTATTAGAATTCATTAGTACTGAGTCTCAACTTGTTGATATTTTTACAAAACCTCTTTTGGAAGAAAGATTTCATTTACTGCATAAAACTATTGGCATTATGCCTATTTTGTAAAAAATCTTTCGTATCTATATAAAATATTTTACTTTCTTACTTAAGTTTGCTTAATTGATGAGTGTATTAATTTTGATGTGAGTGTAATTATTACATTTCCATTGGTGTCACCGAAGCAACTCGTCAGAAGTGTCACTTCCTTCTGAACCTAGCTTTTCCCTTAACCGATGCAACCCTTCAACCTTCCAAAAGACTAGATAAGTACCCCTTTCTCCTTCTCATTCTTCATCTCTTCTCACAAAATTCCCTTACCATGGCAAAAAAAAAACCTCTTATCTTCTACTGCCACAAGACGAAGTAGACGATTTCAGAAAACCCACAACCCTGAAGAAACTGTAGACATGGAATTGTCCCTCGGCTCAGACTTTCTCAAAACCAAAAATGAAAGTAGTGAATCATCGAAGGACCTACCTATTAGCCAAAAAAATCAGGAAAAAGGCCTATGGAGGAAACCCCCAAAAAGCCTGCATGCAAGAAAGGGAAAGTGAAAAGCACAGAATTTGGGCCAGTGGACAAACTAAACTTCTATGGACCAAGTGAGAAATCAAGGATTGAGTCTTATAAGTCCAAATCTATGGCTTATGGACGCTCTGTAAGTCTATGTCTTATGAAAAATTTGCACTGTGATACTATTTCTCCTCTGTTTGATACTATTGGAAATTCTGTATATGAAGAGCTTGTGAGAATATTTTATGCCAATCTGTTTGTTAATGACAAAGATGACTTGGAGTCCATGGTTTTAGGGACTCAGATTGTTCTTAATACCTATCAATTTGAGAAGATATTTTCTGCTAAGTTTCATGGTTATGATATTTTTGTGCAAAACTCCTGGCCAAAAGATTTTAAAGTATCCGTATAAGAGGCAAAAGATTTTCTGTCTAATAATCCTCCTGACATTGGTCCTAAAAATCTCAAGTTTGAACACCGGGTTTTAGCCCACATGATAGCCACCACTTTACTTCCTAGAACTGGGTCCCTCGGCACTTTGAATACTAGAGATATTTTTGTTCTTTACTGTCTTGTGAACAATAAAAGGCTTGACTGGTTTGTGTGGATTCGTCAGTATATGCTTGAAAGTATCAGGGATATATCCTCTTCTGGTGTTTGTCTACCATATGGTTTACTCATTTCACATATTCTTGAAGTCATGAAGGTTGATTTGGCACCTTTCTCGCCCAAACACATTACCAGTACCTATGATAAGACAGCCTTTGCTATGATGGGCTACACCCAAACACATTACCACTAACAACCTACAGCAGATTTAGCAAAATCTAGATGGGTTAAAAATCCTGCTCATTGCAATGAAAGAACATGTGGACAAAATCAGGGAAGTCAATAAAGAAACAGGTACAAATGTGGCCAAGATCAGGATGGACATGGGAGCCATGAGGAGGCAAGGAATCAGGGCATTCAACTCCATAACAGAAAAGGTGGACAAAATCACCAAAGAAGTTGAAACCTTCTATGATTCTTTCTGTACCTAAGTAATCAATACCCTGAAGTACTTTCTAGGGAGAAACTAAGGCAGTGTGTGTGTGTTAAAAATAATTTTTTGGTTGCTTTTATTTTGTGACTTATTTTTGCATTGGTCTGTAAGTACCATCACCCTGTGCCTCTGCTGAAGGCATAACCGCTGCTACCCTAACTACTCTGTCTATTATCTGTATATTATCATCTTCATTTTGTATGTTCTATCTGCACTTGTGTTTTTTCCTTTTTGATTGATATCAAAGGGGGGGGGGGGGGAAACC